TCAGCAGTTCAAAACCACCCGCGACTCCACGAGAGAAAGAGGAGGCTTTTGTGCCCTGTGAAGATTTACAGCTTGGAACCTCACAGAGCTAGTTCTACTCTGCCCTAAAAGGTCAGTCTGAGTTGGAATCCACTGGATGGCAGAGAGAGGAAGTGGAGTTTACAAGTGCTTCATCAACCGCTCCCTATCCTGTGTGTACCCTCGGGTTTCATTGTCTGTACCCATCTGGGTCTTGGTGGGCGCTCAGAGAAAAAAGAGAGCCTGCTGTCTGGATATATACAGGAGCTGGGCTGTGATGTTCTCAAACCTTGGTTAGCGGGCTCTCTCCTATATCTTCCATGCAAGGCAGAATGTTAAAAGAGTAGCATCTTACTTTTAAATTAAATCCCTCAGGAGGAGTCCTTTGTTGAAGTTAGAGAGAGAGGCTCTACTGTCCTGGATTCTGAAATGACTTTTTTGGGACAGAAGTATCCCCCCCACCCCTCTGCTTTGTGTCCACTTAATATAAGATACATATATGTTTATGGTGTGAAACCCTAAGATTCAAGGGTTTAAAGGGGACCTGACTACCACCAAGAAAGAAGAGCCAGAAGAGGAGCCTGACCTTTGGACCCAGGGTCCCTGCATTGAAAGCCCGGGGGTAAGATTGATGCCAAGACACCTGGAGATTCCCAAGGGATGCTAAGTTTGTAGATGTTGAAAGGAGACAAGAATCTTCCCCCAGAGATGACAGAGAAGGAAAACCTTTGGCTAGAGCCGGCGTCCTGAGTTTGGACTTGTCAACTGTGAGAGAATAAAGTCCTGCTTGTTTAAAAAAAAAAAAAAAAAAAGATTGAGGAGTCTGTCTGTTCCATTGAGTAGCATTAACTTATCTCATTGCTGCATAGATTCCCAACTCTGATGATCTCTCTCCCCTCAAGCACAGCTGTGACAGTCAAAATGCAACGTGGCTGGTGGGTGCTGCGACTCATGCCTCCCCTCCAGTCTTATGAAGGGGAGGATCTCTGTTCTGAGGCCTTCCCATCCCAGAATCCTCCACAGCCACAGTCTAAAACCACCTAGGAAGAAGCCACCACTGCCATTTCCTGCTCACAGAGAATGAAATAATTGCATAAAAGCTCTGTGCAGAGCAAGTCCTAGCTGAGTGTTCCTGAACTTGGTCCTGAAGGTGATGGCCAGAATCCCTGATACAACCTGCAGTGGGACTGTCACAGAAGGACCACAAGTGGGAGGCTTTCACAAGCCGGGAGCAGGTGTTTCCTCTCAGGTTACGAGGCTGCAAGTCCAGATTCAGAGGGCTGGCTCTAAGGCAGCGGTTCTCAACCTGTGGGTCACGCTGCAACGCCTTTGGGAGTCGAAAAACGACCCTTTCACAGGGGTCGCCAGATTCCTAACAGTAGCAAAATGACAGTGATGAAGTAGCAACGAAAATCATTTGATGGTTTGGAGTCACCATCACATGAGGAACTGTCTGAAAGGGTCGCGGCATGAGGAAAGTGGAGACCCCCTGCTCTAAGGAAAAGACGTTCTCACTCTGTCCACTCTTGGCTTCGAGAGGGGTCCTTATTTCCTTTCTGCCTTTGTGGGCCCAGTGTTCCTTGGAGATCCCCATGTGTCTTGGCATCAAGGCTTCCCTGGGTCTAGGACCTAGGTTCCCAACCCTATTTGGCCTAGTGCCCCCTTAGCAATGAACCCCTTTTGTAATATAGGCCACAATCCAAGGTAGAGTGCAGATACTTGCTTTCGCATCCTCCCGGGAAGGTGACAGCACCCTTCCCCCCAAACACTGGTCCAGGAGGTTCTCAACCCAGGGACCCTGGGTCCAGAGGATGCACTTGGCTCCCAGCTCTTCTCTCTTGGTGATTGCAGGTCCCTCCATCTCCACTCATGTCTTTCTCCTTTGATCTCGTGTAAGATCCAGGGAAACCCCCTCGACGTTGACTCACAACTGTGGCCTGTGTAAGGGTGTGTCGCAAACCAACCTCGTCCCCTTACAACCAGTTGACTGATCACATTCGATCCTATCATGGGGGGTAGGGACATTATTCCATCATGGCCATGTTTGGCTGGGGGGGATGCGATTCGCTCCTGAAGGGTCCTGTGGATCATTGGTGTTAGCACGGTTTGCCACCCACGTGGTTTCTTCAGAGCTGAGGATCCCAGAGTGCACCTCTCTCTGACACCTTGCCCACTTTCCCGGTCTGTTCAGGGTTTCTTTCCCACCTTTCTTTTTTTTAAGAGAAATGAAATGGAAGGCTGTGCAGAGATGACAGGGAGGGGGTAGTAGCGTCGGCTGTGCCTGTCCCAATCCTGAGGCGGGCAGACACCTGTCCGCAGGTGAGGGAGGACACCAGCCATTGGAAAAAAGGGTGTGCGTCTGGAAGAGAGGTCGGCCAGAACTGCCCTAGTCAGGGGCCCTGGGGCCCAGCTGCGCTGAGTGGGCTGCCTCTCGGTGCATCTCCGCCTTTATTCAGCTGTTGCTATGGCAGATTCAGCAGCAGTGCCTTCCACCGCGTATGAACTGGGAGCATGCTCAGTGTGGGTGGGGGCAGGGACTGGCACTTGTCTCTGGCGAAATATCAGTAAAATGTGATTGAGAGTATTCTCGGAGGCTTCTTGTGGGAGAAGCAACGTTAACCTTTCCTTCCATGTCTCCCAGCTCGACAAAGTCAGCCCCGTCCAAATTGGCCAGACCTGGGAGGATGTCAAATTGCCTCACTGAGTGCTCCAGGCAAGGGGATGGAGTCAGAGAGGTCAGCACAAGACACTGGTTCAAGTCCAACTTTGCTATCTCCACTCCTCTGTGTGCTGCCCTTACAGACAGCTCCCCGCCCACTCCCCACCCACCCCCAAAATGGGCTTCTAGATGCTTAAACAGATGAGCCAATGTAAGTTAATGAATTTGGGGTCAGACCAGTACGATGAAACTATGCTCAGATGGTTTCAAGCATAAACCTTTATTTTCCTGGGTGAGTTTGGGGCGTCGCACTCTCTTTCCTATCCTGCCGGGGAAGAAAGCCATTTCCTTGAAAGAAAAGTTTCCTCTTCAACTGAGGAAGCCACCGGAGGCTGCCCCTTCTTTACCGGGGAGCTGCTCACGGCCATCACCAGGCCTGTGGAGACTCCTCTCCATTGTGGTGCCGACCAATAGGAAGGCAGCCGCAAGGGGGCCAGGCTGGGTGCAGCTCGTGTTCCGTGGGTGCTGTGTGTGGCGGTGTGAGGAAAAGTCCCAGCAGGACATGGACCTTCATACAGCCGACACCGCCCTGGCCATATTCACGTGTGGGATACGTTTAACACTCAGGGGAAGCATGGGGAAAATATGATTGCATGTTCTCTGTCCCTCAGCCTTATACATCGGATGTGTCCATTTCTTTGCCAAGTCCTTTCCATCCTGATCTCATTTTATCTTTTCAATGATCCTGCAAGGTTGGGGCTTTGAATCCAGCCAGCAGCATCACAGAAGAAAAACCCAGCAGCCCGCTTCCGTACAGATGACAGCCCAGGAGACGTGGTGGGGTTCAGCTCTAGTCTGTCCAGGGCCACCATCGGTCAGAAAAGGCTCCAAAGAAGGCTCTCTCTAGTTTACAAAGGAGGAAACAGAGGCACAGAAGGGTGAAGTAACTGGCTCAAGGTTACACAGCTGGGGAGAGGTGGGGCTGGGACTTGAACCTAGTGCCCAGTTCCAGAGTCCTCTGCACACACCCGGGCCCCTGTGAAAAGAAATGCTCCCAGAGATCTTAATGGAGCACACGGGATCACTTGCGTGGTTTTCATGTAATCAAAGTAACTATCAGGTTCGGGATTTGCTCCCCCCTTTATAATACATGTAGACACTTTGCCTGAAATATAATCTTTCAAGTAAATGGATTTACCATTTTCCTGGACCTACTACTACTATCCCTCCCTCCCTCCCTCCTTCAATCTCTCTCTCATTGCTTTTTAAAGACCTGATGGGTTAGACTTGCTCTCCCCTAATGCCCATTCCTAGGAATAGGCCATTTTCTAGGCTCCAGAGAGCGTTTGCTTGCGTCTCTCGGTTGTTACGGGTTTCGTTGTTGTTCTTTGGATTGGGGGCCCTTTGTTCTCTGGTCTCACCAGAAGGCGTGCCCAGTACCCCGCAGAGAACTACTTAGTCGTGGGTCCGGACGAAGGTACTCTCATCGTGGGCACCTGCGCTACACACCTTTGTCCCCAGAAGAGACATTTAATGCATCTCCACAGAAGTTTGCATTTGCACATGACCCCTTTGTCTCCCTTGCCCCCGGCAAAAAAAAAAA